TTTTTTTTAAAAAAAAAAGGAAGAAGAAAAAAAATTCTTCTTTAAATTAAAAAAAAAAAAATTATGATAAGGCTAAAAAATACATTGATAAAAAAAAAATGGGATAAAAAAAAAAAATTTTTTTTTTTAAATTTAAAAAAAAAAATTTTTTTCATTTATATTCTTATTAACTGGCGCAGAATATTTTTAAAATAATTGGTTTCTTCTATTACACAAAATCGTTAATATGAAGTAAAAATGGAACACATAATAAATACTTTTTTTTTTTTGTGAAATTATAATTAGCGAATAGTTTTAGAATGAATTCCGTTAAATTCCGCATTTTTTTAGCGTTAAAAAAATTATTTGATCCAAGATTACACTGAATAAAATAAAAAAATTTACAATAATAATAATAATAATTACGAGATAGTGTAAAAAGTTGTTTGGCTTAAATGATTTTCTAAATTTAATATTAAAATATTTTAAAAATTTTTTTCTTTTTAACAAAGAAAAAAGCTAAACTATATTTTGACAAATTTCAATGTTTTTCAAACTTAATCCTTCTTTTTTGATTTTCTTTTTATCTTTTTGATCTTTCGAAATTTCTTTTGATTCTTGATTTGTAAATTTTATTGATCACACATTACTTTTATTAGAAATAATTTCCGTTAGTTATTCTGATCTACTGATATAATTTATACTTTTTTAAATGATTTTTTAAAATGAATGAAATTTTTATTTTCGTCTAGAAAAAGATAAAACAATGGTAAGGAAAAAGAAATCAATTACATCATTTATCAGGTCTCGTGCCCTCTTTTCGAAATCATTAATGATTGTTTTGAAATTTTTTTTAAATTTAGTTATAATCGACATTAAAGAATGGTAAATGTTATATATATTTATAATGGAATGGAAATTTAAATGTATTTATAAAGAAATGTAAATACATTTCAAAAAATTCAAAATATTTATTTGTTATTATAATAATGGTAATTTAAATGAAATAATGATTTTTTTCTCTCTTTCCGGATATATCTATCAGATAAATATAATATGTACGTAAGGGGGCGCAGCAATTGAAGATTATTCAATTTGATGTCGCGAAATATACTTATTGTATTGTACAGTATCATTATTATTATTCAAGTTTATTATCAAACTTATTCTCTTGATAACTATTATTAACTTCATTTTTTGCATGTTCTTTTTGTTCTTTTCCTTCATCTTTTGTTTCTTTCTTTCCCGAAAATATACCAATAGCTTCCTATTTTTTATTAGTTATACATTTTTAAAAAGGTTTAATATATAATATAATTACGCGTAAAATATGTCATTTACGTGTCCAAAAAAAATTTACCTTTAAAGTTCCAGTAATAGTATTTTCAGTGCCACGAATAAGTGATGGTTTTTCATGTTCTCTCGTTTTACCTTGATCATCAGGAATCTCTTTTTCGGTTTCAACACATGTACCAGTTTCAGTTTGATTACCTTTATTAGGATCCTTTTCTTTAACGCGTTCTAATTTTGGTAGTTCATTATCCGTAGCTATTACAGGTCCTTAATAAAATCATAAAATCATATAAATTTATTAAAATATGCTGCGGCAATCTTCTGGTGAACTTTGGGATTCTTACCCGGCATGATAGTTGCTCCAACGTAACCAACCGGTAATTCATTTTCAAATTTGGGTGGTGGATTGAGATCACTTCTGAAATCCGACATAGTTTTGTAAAAAATTTATTTTTTGGATCAAAAAAAATTTCTATCAAGTTTTTATAAAATTTTATCAATGATTAAACATTTACAAGAGGATGACGAGGATGACGTTTTTATTATCATGACATAATTAGATGCGCCTATATATCGCCAAAGTTTAATTAGTTTAATTATTTTAAAATTGTTCAGCCTTTCTCTATAAAAAAAAAAAAAAAAAANTCCGACATAGTTTTGTAAAAAATTTATTTTTTGGATCAAAAAAAATTTCTATCAAGTTTTTATAAAATTTTATCAATGATTAAACATTTACAAGAGGATGACGAGGATGACGTTTTTATTATCATGACATAATTAGATGCGCCTATATATTATTAACCTTTCATTAGCTTTTTCATTATTACTTTCATTAGATTCAAACATTAAACATTGGATATTCATCATGTTCATCATAAAAAAAAATTATTCAAAAATTCGATGATGTTTAAAAAAAGTTAATGTACATTTAATTAATAATTGATAATTTTGATTATCTTACATTAATACATTATACATATTATACATTTTTTTTGGTGTAACTAGTAACTCGCATGTACCCGATTATATTTTGATTATATAAATTATATAAATAAGAAAATGTTTTTATTTCAGGGGGATCTTCCGTACACATTTCATTTTTTTTTTTTTTTTTTTTTTTTTCATCCCATTTTTTCTAAATCGAAAAAATGATGAAACAAACAACGTCCAGCAATAGTAATAATAATAATAATAATAATAATAACAAAGATTTAAATGAATTAAAACAATTAAAATCAAAATATTATGAATCAGAATTAGAAAAAGATGGTTTAAATACTTTAGTAGAATCATTAAAAACAAAAATTCGTACATTACAACAACAAATCTTTTCTCAAGAAAGTTCCGTCCAATTAAATCAAGATTTAGAATCACAAAAAGAGATTTTATTGGAAAAAGTTAATAATTATAAAAAAAGAATTAATGATTCTGATTTACAATTAAATATTATTAAAAAAGAATTATCTACATTAAGGGAAGAAAATAATGATTATATTAAAAAACATAATGAATTACAACAAGAAAATGTTCAAATACGTCAATTAAATAATTTATTAGAATTAGATAAACAACATTTAAATAAAAAATTAAGGGAATATGAGGATGAAAAAATTATTTTACAAAAAGAGTTGAGACAATGTAACGAACAATCAACTTCAATTGAGGATAATATAAATGAAATAAAATCTTCTTTTGAAAAATTAGATGCTGATTATCGTGTATTACAATGTAAAAATTCTGAATTGGAATTAGAAATTGAAAATTTACAATGTGAAGTTAAGAGACTTCGTGAAAAATGTGTTTTACAATATAATGAAATTGATGAATCGAATAAATTAAATGATAAATTAAAAGGTGATATCAATGATTTAAACCATCTTTTTATTGAACAAGAACGTGTCTTGAGGGAAAAGAATCAGCAAGGTAAAGTTTCTTACTCATGATAAAAGTTCTCTCTTTGAAGAAAGTTATGCTGATAATTTCTTCGCTTTACAGAGAATGGAATACATCCGGCATATTGTAATGTATGCAACAAATATATAGTAGGAGTTCGATATAAGGTAAAATAATTATATATATATATATATATTTTTTAATCGCTCTTTATTAATCATTTATGTTTTTTTAAAAAAGTGTGGACATTGCGATGATTTTGATATATGTTCGAATTGTGAGACATCAAATCATGATCGTAATCACGTATTTATTAAAATTAAACGTCCAATCATTAATGATAGATTTGTAAAAACTGCTTTACTACCCGAATTTCAATTTATTGAACAAAATGAACAAGGTATATTCAATATTTCAATATTTATTTTTATATTTATTGTATTAAAGATTAAAATTATTTAAATTTTTTTCAAGATATCGATCATAAGGCTATTTGCAATGTTTGTCACAAAAAGATTCGAGGTGTTAGATACAAGGTAAAATTTCAATAATTTATTTTTAATATCGAATAAATTTACATCATATATTCATTTCGTATTACAATTAACAAATTTATTTGTATCCAAACTATTAATCATTTCTTTAGTGTGGACACTGTGCTAAATTTGAAATGTGTGTGAATTGTGAAGCGTATCCATTTAATTTACATGATCAAACTCATGTATTTATAAAAATTAGAAGACCTGTTCAAATTGATTCTAACGAAAATTTATTACCTTCGGAATTTCGCTCTATCGTTAATAAACCTTCTAATATATAGAGTATTAATAGATACTTGATAAAGTACTACTCTATTAAAAGATACGATGATTTTGTATAATCTAATAATTCATAGAAATTTAGATAATAGGAAATTTTAATATAAAAAATATTCTTTATTTTTTGTTTATATATATATATAATAAATACATTTTCATTTCAACTTTTCATTATAAAATAATGAAAAAGACTTATAAACAATTTATACTAAACAAATAATTTTATTATGAAAAACGAAATAAAAATGTTAAATTTCGAGCAATTAAAAAGATGTACTTAAAAAAAAACAATTCGAATCAAGAAAAATATACTAATAATGTTTTTTTAAAGACGGAAGTAAAAAATTTTTAACAAAAAAATATAAGTTCTATACTAGTAGACTGAGGAATTAATCTGAATTAAATTAATATTAGAAATTACCAATTTTTTTTTTTTCACTAAATGTTATGGTGGATATTTACGCCAGTCACGTGGAACACGTCTCATACCTGAAAACGTATTACCACGCAAAGCCTTTACGGGTTTCGACCGTCTTACTTTTAAGAGACGATCAAGTTCCAAGATGACAATATCATCAACAAATCCCATCTGTTTGTCCAATAGTTGAAAGTTCTTTATCTGACCAGTCATAGTCCAAAAAACTATCGAAAAGATCAAGAACACTTGCTTCATTATTTGTTGCGGTTGTTGAAGCATCCAAGTCGGTATAGAATGGGTCTGTGATAATATCCCGTAAAGGTTCCTCATCTTGACGTGCCGCTGCTGGGACTTCTCGGATAAATTGAACTCTTTTGCATCATCATTATCGGATAAGTAATACCTATATGAAGAATCCAGTAAAGTCTCATTCTGACTGCCGTTCATTTTTGTGCTGCTCGTTTGTTCTTTCTTACCATTATTATTATTCGATGCGTTAGAGTCATAATCCAAGGTCGCGGATACTGCAGATCCGCGAACACCGTCAAGTAGGACTTTGGTCATCTCGGAAACAGCTAGGTGCGATTGAATTTCACTTAATTGTGCTGAAATAACATCAAGCTTGGCAGATAGATTGATGTTTTCTTCTTCAACTACTTTTAATCTTTTAGATAAATGCTCATTTTCTTCTTTAAGTAAAAGATTTTGAGATTCAAGATCAGCCATTTGTCTTCTTTTTTTGTCTCGTGACATTTGAGCAGCGTGTCGATTTCTTAAAATTCTTTAAGAAAAAAAAAAAAAAAAAAAAGNAAAAAAAAAAAAAAAAAAGAGAAATATTAGAAATCAAAGTCAATTTTATAAAAATATTGTAATTTTTTTAATTAATGAATAAATGAAACAATACCTTTCACGCTGTCTTTGTTCTTTCTCTTCTAAACTTTCAGCTTTTCTCTTACGACCTCCTGCTGCTTTCTTTTTAAGATTTGATTCATCATTAATAGAAAGATCATCATTATCAGAATTTGGTGTGGATACTGTAGATTTAAGTGGTAATGCGGGTTTAATTGGTTTAACAGGAGTTACTAAAGAAGCAGAAGGTGTAGTAGGTGTAGTAGAAGGTGTGATAGTAGGAGTAGTTGGAAGTGAACATGAAAAAATCTTGTCTGTGTATTTTTGTAACTCTTCTACATTAATATATTCTTGTAAAAATAAATCATTACTTTGAGCTATTGCTATAATGCTTTCATCTGTTGATAAACTATTTTCTAAATCTTGTGATGAGGAAGATAAAGTTGGAGAATAGATTAATGAGTTGAGTTGTGATAGATCTGTATATTCAGTATTGCTTGATGTGTTATTATTATTATTTTCTTGGGTTGAGGCCACCATATCCTCTTTACTCCAAATATTATTTGAGTTTGAAGATATAACTAAATTTACTTGCTCATTATCGGAGCTTTTATATTCTGTGGAGTTTTTTATTAAGGACATGGTGACCTACCCTGATATATAAATATTCTCTCGTTAATACAATTTGTTCCAGTTTATTAGAAAATAAGGAAAACAAATACGTGTAAATTAATAATTTGGCAGTTGATAGAAGAAAATTGTTGAATGAGAAACGAACAACGATGAATTCTTGAAATAAAACGCTATTTATAAGGAGTTATTACATGCTGTTAGTTACAATTGGTAATCATATATCATTAGAATTTTAATTAAATGTGTTTGAATTTGATTGGCTTAAAGTTTAATTGTAACCATATTAAGTATACAGGCGAAAATGCAGAATAAAAAGTATGATAATGTGGCTTCGTCGGAAATTATAATTTATAGCAAGATATGCTTATACATATATATTCAAAGATCCGGGAGTTCTGAGTAACAATTCGATCCTTAAATTCTCTAGATCCCGCGAATTAATTAAATCTTCTCACTATTACTATATATTTATATGCAACCACCTTCTTAATTAAGGTATATCCGAACAAAGGTAAAGGTAAAAGCCATCCGTAATACCACTTAATAACATTCCTTTTATGATTTTGGATTCAAATAAGATGATAGGAACTTTACTTAAATAGACACAATATTTCTTTATTAAACAAAACTTTGAAACGCGACATAAACATTCCGATTGTTATCAATTGTTATAAATTATTATTCGAATATTCCTAAACATATTTTTAAGAGTTTTATATTTTAACTATTTTTTCCTCGAAAAAAAAATAAAAATATGAATGATATTTTTTCTCGAAAATGGAAAATGCAATAATTAAATTATTTAGTGGAAATTCATTAAAAATAAATTTCGAGGGATCTGGAATCAAAAGTTCCCGATTAATAATTAATAATGAATTGTTTAACAGACGACATCTCGATTTATCCAAAATTAAGGATGAATTTATCCCTTGAATCCTTACATTTCTGAAGACAATGAATGAATGGGTAAATGTTTTGGGTGCCGCGACTTTTTTTTAAAAAAAAATAAAATTAAATGTTTTACAAGGAATCGGGAATCAGATTGTGCATTTTAAAACATATTTTGACTTCGAAATTATTTGTTTTTTTTTGTTTGAAAACTTTTGAAAGAAAATGTCTGAACATCAATTTATTGTGTCGTTATTTGATAAAAAATTCGTTCCTGAAGAAATTATTGAAAAATTAGATTATAACACGTCTTCATCCAATACAACATCAAATTCATTATTTCCTTCACAAAAAACTAATAATTCTCTCAATAACAATATTCTTTTCGTTAATAATAATTTACAACAACAACATTCTAGGCTATTATTGTCTGGTAAACAATTTTGGCCAACATCAACACCAATTAGAGATGATGATTACATTATAATTTCTAATAATTCAAAATTCGGTAGCACATTTACTTCAATTATCCCCGTTAAAAAATTATTTTATAAAATTTGGAGTAGAATGAATCCTAATGGAATTTTAAAAAGGAATTTTTCTTCTAATAATTCTTCTTCGTCATCTACTTCTTCTGAAGAGATTCAAGAGAATTACGAAGATCAATACAATGAATATCGAAAGATTTATAAAAAACCATGTTGTTCTCCATCACGAGAAAAAACATTTCATAAGAAACAATCAAACTTATTAGAAAAGAAAATTCCATCTAGTTATTCTCCCGTCAAGACTTTGAATTATTTTTGTTGTGATGATATGTTTAATAATCGTAATCCAATTTCACCACCAATAAATCCTGTAACAATATCAAGAAATCAAACCATATCATATACATCGCGTCACAATTTAAATCCTTTATTAACACCAGACGAACGCACTTCTAAACCTTTAAGATTAATTCTTTTTAATATTCATACTTATTGGCAAAATTGGTCTATTAAATACCAAATTGAATTACCTAGAAATATTTCATTTCATAGATTTAAACGTGTTATGTCACAAATGTTACGAAATGAAATTCCGAACGATTTGATCGTACTTTATCATACTGAACGATACACTGATGACGATGTTATGATTGGATTTGATAGTAACAATAAAGAAATCAATAGGTTCTTATTAGATTATTTATGTAAAAGTGATAAAATTCGTGTAGTTACTCATGATGCTGTTTGGTCTACTTATTTATTAATGTGGAATGATAACGAAATTTCTATTACTCTTTTCTCAAAATCTCTTATAGAAATTAAATGTAAATAATGAAGATAGAAATTTCTTAAACATGTGGGAATGACAAATCGAGATATTGAACATTATAATAAATGTTAATATGAACCTAGTATAGTACTGATAAAAAAGCAAAGATGTATTGAGCTTTAATATGTCTTCTTGAAGTGGATTTAGAAACAAATTTGCTGAATCAGTTGAAATTGCAATAAAAAATCTGTTATAAGGAAAATAATGGGTAATCTTTGCAAATTTTGCAGTGCAGATTTTTGAATTACGTGCCATTGATATAATTTTTTGGACTTAATCCCTATTACGCGTGAAATAAATATTCAATATAAATTCATGTGAGACTTTATATAGGTAACACTATCAAGGTCTTCTAAGCCAAAGGTCAAATCGCCGCTTGCAAGAATGGGTAATTCTATAAAAGTCATTGATCTTGTAATCGTACAAGACATTGTTCACCTTACCATTAAACATCTTATGAAGTATTGTATTTCATAATTAGGTGGTAATTCAAGGTAATTTCATTTTCTACATTTTGATATGTGTATTGATACATATGAAAAATTAAAATGGTTCATATATATAGCGGGTAAAATCAGTATTAGTGTATTAAATATTGGTATATTTATCACACGTGTTATTTATCTGATAAATATTCTCATATGTTACTATAACGGAGCCTGACAAAAATTCGGTATAAGGCGAGCCGACTGTAGTACTTTCTTTACATACTCATGTATTCATTAAGAAAATATTTATTTCAATATTATCTGTTTTCAATTTAAATTGAAGAGTTGAAGTAGGATAATTGTATCTGATATATTATCTTAAATTTACTGAATTTATTGAGACGCTATCAAAACCATTCAACGAATGGACCTTTTCAAAGTGTGCAAACTTTAGCGAATGACCCGAATCCTAGCATTGACGTATATCCCATTTTTTCGTGTGGACGTATGGTCCTAAAAGGTGAAAAGTCTCAATCAGTGATTAAACATCTAATAGCCGAATTGGAACTTCGTCAAAAAACCACCCTCTTAACGTTGTGCATGGGGCAACGAAATCCATTTATTCTTACTGTTACCTGGCTAGCGGTGTACTGTATCATTCTATGAAAATTATACCGGAAAAACTTATGATGAGTCACAATGGTAAAGAAATCTCGATTATGCGATGGAATATAGGATTGTTGGTTTAGTCGAAGTTAAAAAGGATGACTTTAAGCAGGGCTTCGCGCAGACCGTCGTGCAGATGTAATCATCATTGACGTACCGAAAATGCAAAGTGAACGTAATAGATGATTCCTACAGTTAGTACGGGGGATTGTAATAGATGTACTTTATGGAGCGCAGAGGAAGCCAACATTTAAGCTGTCGGAACAAGTGATCGTTGTATACAAAGATAAGAATTTGTAGAAAAAATCCCCGGGCATATTGTATAGTTATTGGAGGAGGCGCAAAAGTCGGTGGATGATACACAAGCGGTGAAGAATCGAGGGAAATAAAAAGGGTAAGGACATCAAGCAATCTTGCGTTAAAGTCAGATACTGTAAATAGGCCATATCATGGATGTTGGGCGTTAACTCAATTTGTATTTATTTTTTATCCGTTTTGCTCAAGCAAACATTTCTCTATTAATAAAAAATTTATATTTACGATCATATACACAAAAACACACACAAACTTTTATTACACAATGGTCAATACATTTAACGTCAATAAAATTATACTTGTCAGTAATAATTTTGGACGTTTAAAGAGCCAAGCATTTAAAGAATTAGCATAAGCATTAGCTACAAATCCATCCAAATTATCTTTACAAGTTGCCAAAGAGATCGTATATAATAAAGGAAGACGGCATTGGAACAACAACAATTTGAAACAACGTTAGCACAAGAAGAGGAAGAGGACCTTCAAATAATTACATCACCAAAGCGATCTTTAAACGCGTATGTTCCATCAAGTCACCCATCTTACTCTCTACCCAGACATAGCAATCTTGACAAAATCAGAGTATGTGTCCGCGAACGATGTCTTTCCGAAAAACATATTAATGGTAAAACTAATCTCAGTGTAAAGTACAAAAAAACATGATGTCCGTGGTGTACAGTTAAAAATCGTCGCACTCGAACTATTGAAGATGTGAGAAAGTTTGCAGAGAAAAAAGGAGGTCCTTACCTTGCAACTAAGTATATTAATAGACAAGATCCTCTTATATGGCAATGTATGCACAAGAACGTAGCGATGTACATATTCCAATGTGCTAAAGGACATAAAATGGGCTGCACCTCTTATTAGTGTAAAGAACAAGAGTCGATGATGTTCAGAATGTTCTGGCATTAAGCCCTGCCCGGAGATTCAACACGAAGGGGGATTTCTTGATTGGACAGATTGAGAGTATTCGGTCTGTACTTACGAATCTTGGGTTTTATTTTTTTTTTATTATTTTGGAACGGTTTACTAACCATTCCTTTCTTTTTTATAGATGCCCATGGTTCAGTAAAGTTGTTGTAAAACCTTCTTCAGCTTAGAGTGATGGAAATTGGATCCGCGTAGTTGACGCAGCATACATCATTTTAAATTTCCGCGCGTGTAATTGCTTTGCGCGTATTGCGTATAATCTGTCATCTGAATTCAGCATCATTTCAATTTTTATATATTAAGTCACGTGGGACGAGATGGATACGTCATTTTCCAATGACGAATGTCGCGTCTACTATTTGTTTAATTGAAATTTACACATATTTAACTGCTACTTTCACGGAATAATGAGTCAGTTTATTATTCATCGCATAACATGATATTGTAAGTATTCGTTACGATATAAAATCAACTACGATATCTAATTTTTTTTTTATTATTTTTGTAGGTATTTATCATCTACAATGTTATGTAATGAAATCATGCCAGAATTTTTAACATGCTCCGTCGTGCTGTTGTTCATATTCTGAAACTTTGAAAGGTTTTCGTAAGTATATTTTAAAGAATTTTGGTCCAACTTTCAGATCGAGAGTCGAAAAATTATGAAATGAAACCCGGTATCCATCTACATTTTATTCTTTATCGGTAAGAATATATTTTATAGTCCAAACAAGTTTTGTTTAATCACTAATTATTTTTATAAAGGTAGGAAAGGGTAAGATCTACCATTAAGAACTATGTATTCATCAGATTCATCTCAACCATTATCACCTTGTATTGTCGAAATCGAATTCATCTCTTAAAGAGAAACGTGTACCGAAAGTTAGAGTTTAATTAGTCGGTTCACATAAGGATTATTAAACAATATTGTGGTGATTTTATGGTTTTATGTTCATATGATTACTTATGTAAAATATAGATGCATTGCATTCTGTACGAAATATTACATTAAATCCAATGTTAAAATGTGAAATAATAATTTAATGCAAGATATTTCTGATATTAAAGTATATTTTCGGTCAAAATTCATCACTTTTTTTTGCTGATCAACATGTATGATTGTTTACTTTTTTTGCAATCTTATATGTAAACGTGGTTGAGTTATGAGTTTTGGAAAAGAGGAGGTATATGCCTCCCAGAGAAATCCAATCGCTCATAAATAGAGATGCACAAAGAGTCGTGAATGAACAAGCAATATTTTCTATTTTCTTGCATCAAAATAGGTAAAATATGATGACCATATTGTGCAATGCACCTCAACTTTTGAAGCTAGACAGTTTGCTTATAGTAAAAATGGGCAGCAACTATCTGAAAGTATGTTAATAGCAATTTTCCAGAAATACGTTAAAGATCACGAATGGTATAAACCGCTTACAACCTGATATGCTTGTAGTAGGAAAGACAAATCCAGCTACCATTTTGATGCTAACAATGCTAACATATAAAATATATATTTTTTAATAACGATCTACAAAATACAAATATCTTTTAATCTGAAAAATAACATGAAAAATGGGTTATTATAAAATATCAATCTTTAATTTGTTGTAAAATTAATTTAACGTAACTCGGAATTTAAATTACTAACAAAATATATCTATTAAATTTAATAATTTGTTACCTTTTGTCATTGACAAGGATCCTACTCAATCGTGCGTTAACTAATACACTCAAGTAATTTTTTGACGTTGTTGACGTGTGAACATCACACACGTGGTACTCATCAAACAAATTGTTAATTTCTATAATTAGCCCAAAGTTGAAATTTATTACTTTTTTGGCATTTGGACAATCAAGTGTGGTAATACATTTCACAATAAATTTATCCACAATAGGATTACTGCATAAAATAAGGTTTCCCTACGAGATTCGTATTATTTCCTCTTTGAGTTTTTCTTTCTTTCTTTATTTATTAATTTGTATTTGGAATAATTTATTTATTTATTTGTTTACGTTTGGGTTCTACATCTCAATGTGAATAAGATGGAACCTATTAAAATTCTGAAAGATATTATGGTTGATCTTAAATTTGTGATTCCACCTAGTAACAAAAAGTGCATGTTAACAATTCACTTAAAAAAAGACAAATTATTGTTGGATGTTGTTAGAGAGTTTATAGATGATAATAATATTCCTTGTTATTTGGAAAATTCATTACTTTCTGTCGTCGAACATCTTATACAAGAAAGTTTACGTATAGACACTGAAAGGGATAATAAAAGTAAGATACCAAATACGGTTGATTAAGCCCTTGTTTGAATTTAAATTCTGATTTTTCTTTTTTTTTTCTTTTTTATTAGTTAAAAGTGAATCAGATGCAATCAATATTCGAAAAAATCTTGTATCAAAATACAAAAAACACACCGTTAGATACAATGATGCACCTGCGGAGGTACCCCATCAAATTAAAATAATTATTTAAATCAAAATAAGGCTTGGATTAATTAATTACTTTTTAACGAATATTTATCTTTTTAACTACTTTAGGATATTTTTCCAAAAGCATATCATAACCTAGTTCATTCTCCCGTACCTTCAATCTTTGATACCCTTTTACAATTGGAACAAGGATATAAACAAGCAATCAAGGATATTGTTTCAGCTAGCGATAGCGAATTGGAATGTATTCAGAGCAGGTAAATTTATATTCTCGTTTAATAAATAGCAAATTACATTTGTCTTTATTAATTTTTTTTTTCTTTCTTTCTTAGACACCATAAAGAAATAGAAACGGAATCCGGTTGTAATAACGGTATAAACAACTTGATCGAGAAATATCGCGAGGTAATTAATTACATTTATTTTAGTTAAATAATTATTTCTTTATTAATTATAGCTTTTATTAGGATGTAGAATATAATCAGGCTGCTTTAGCAAGTGAACTTGAGGAAATTAAGCGACAACAAAAAAGTGAATATTGTGATCTTGTAGTTAAACTATATGAAGCACATCAACGATCGCTATCGGTACACCAATCAGCAACGGATCTAAATATGAGATTAGATGGCAAAGAGATAGTTTCTGAAGTAATTTCTTCTTTAAAAAAAAGTAAATATGAATTATCTAAAGAAGTGTTGAAACTTGATCAAGGACATGATACACGAAGTCGTCACGGCAGTATCAGTTCATTATCAGAGATTATCTCATCTCCTGTAATGACTGCACCACCTTCTCCTATGTTTTCACCTGTTTTATCGTCATTTAGCGGCAATGGAGAAGATAACTACTTTAATGTGTGAAATTTCGGATTATAATTGTGGTATAGGGAAATTATCATTTTTTCGTTAGAGGGTGTTTTTCATGAAATTAACTTTTGTTTTATTTTTGTTATATTTTATTTTATTTATTTTATATTTTTGAAATAGGATTTAAAGATGATTGATGATATTGAAGAAATGGGATTTAATCATGACCAGGCTAGAATGGCTTTAGAAATGGCTAATGGGAATAAGGTAATATTTTTAGAAGAAAGACAATTAAACCCACTCAATTGTAATTATTAACACGTTTTAATTTTTCAATATTAGGAACAAGCTGTTAATTTGCTATGTGAGCAATTGGATAAAATTGACGCGCAAATAGCGAATAATTTAATTTTACCTCCTAGACGCGCATCCATGCTATTTGCTAGTTCTCCTCTAAAAGAGCCATCAAACGGGAAACAAAAATCAAAACCTCCGCGTAGACCTAAATTAACAGTATTAACTAAACAAGAAAAGAAGAATTCCTGGTCTCCAATGTCATTATTTAACCCGAAACAACAAATGATACCTACACCAAGCACACCAGTTAAAAGATTTGGTTGGTTAAGTAGAAAAGTGATGGATGATGTGAACGGGTGAGTAACAAAAAAAAAATTATCTAGAACATTATTTTGAACAATAATCTTATTTTCAATTATTCTAGGCATATACCAAACTTGAATCTGGCTGATAATCCACAAATGATGGAGAGTTTTACAATTTCACTTGGGAATCAAGTGAAATCAACTCATAATCTTAAACTTTCATTGTCAGATACGGACGATTTACTTAAATCATCCAATGATACTGCAAGAGATATGGCATATAAAGCTCAAACTGCAGCAAATTTATATTCTCAAAAATTGACGGCAATTGTTTTACTCTTAACACCAAAAGACTGGCCTAAATATAAATTAGGCAAAAGTGCTAACAGAGGTAACAATATTTTTATTTATTTTATAAAAACTTTAAAATTATTATCAATGTTTAATTTTAATATTATAATGATAGCATTTTTTGCAAGATGTAAAGAATCGACTGAATTTCATTTTAAAGACGTTGAATCACAACTAGAAGCCATTGAAAAAGATTTTGATAAATCCGAAATACAGGAGGGTTAGTATATTTAATAAATTTTTTTTAATAACATACATTCCATATATTTAATAATTTCTTTTATAGGTGATTTTTTTATTACAAAGCATTCAAACTTGCCTCTTATACATGTCGTATTTCATTTAGTGATTGAGTTTGAATGTAAGTAGTTCAAAGGTTTTATAGTATCATAATTAAATCATTTTCTAACTTAATTATATTTAATTCTATTAAGCAATTACAAGTTCAGAGCTCACACAAAGATCTCACGTAATGGAAGGATTAAGAAATATATTAAGAACAATTGACAGATTTGATATCGCTAGCATATCATTACCACTTTTATTGATTCCATCCAATATTGATCCATTTACAAATGTAATACTGGATGAGAATATTCTTTATAAAAGAGGTGAATTGGTACTGAAATGTATTAAAGGGTTTATGATGCAAAATTCCGGAATGCCAAATAATGATGGTGAAAAAGAAGAAGCAGCTAAAACTGTTTCGTTTCTGTTAAGTAAAAATGCTACTGAAAAACAATTTCATAATTTTAGAAATTTATTAACTAGAATTTTTAAAACCAGTTAAAAATGTATTACTATAATAGTTGTAGTTTTAGTTGTAATCTCTCTTTCTTTTTAGACCTTTACAGTTTATAATTAATATAATAAATTTATTAAATTATTTATAATTTTAGAAAACCTTTGTTACACAAATCTCGTGATTCTTTCTAGTGAAAACTTAAAAAATTGATAATATCACATGATCAAAGATGTCGAGGTGAATGATTGGCTTATTCAAATCATGTGGTACTACATGATTGTTGGCATTGTTTTTAAACAATTAAAACCAGAAAATTTTGCCTAAATTCTTTTTTAAGTAAATATGTGATTTTCATTTGATGCAATACGATCAATTGTGTATAATTTTATTTAAAAAGAGATTATAATGCGCGATGCACGCGATATCATTTCAATTCACAAATCAGAATTAATTAAAAAAATTAAACAAAAGTCGATCGATTATGAAAATTCATAGAAAGAAGGAAATATTTGCCCTTAATTTTGTTTATCTTAATTATCGAATAAAGAATCTTTATACAGAATATTTTCCAATTTTATTATTTTTAAGGGATTATGACTGATGTTTGAATAGAATTTTTAATGAATGTTAATTTATCCTAATTTCTAATAAATTTTTTTGTTTCATCAGTAAATAAACATTAATTATCAAAAGAAAGAAAATTTCCAAAAAAGTATAGTTTGAATATGGAATTGATTTAAGTTTATTTTTCTTTATTTATAGTGAAGAATTGCAAAGAAAACCTTATTGTCTATCGGTCCTACTCATTTAATAAATAAATAAAAATAAATATATAATTTTTTTTCTTTTAAGAAGCTTTTCACTCAATTATTTTTACAATTATGTTTTTCATTTGATAACAATATGCATACTCGTAATTTAAGTTCATCCTCTTTGCATGTCTTTTGCGTAAGTACACAATAATTTTCTAATTATTCGCTAAAATAGGTAAAAATTCTTATGTTAGTTATGCCTTGTCGATGTAAAATAAAATGATGTCAATAATAATAAAAAAAAAAAAAAAAAAAAATATCAGTCATTTAAGTAGTATTTTTAAATTTTGCGAGATAATCAACATCGTTATTATTATAAAGATGTTCTCTAATAATGTTATTTTATTTAAGCCAATTCCAAAATTTGATATTCTATATGTCGAGAACGGTCTCTTTGACGATTTTACCTTTGATAAATATCTTGGGAAATGTAAGAATTGATATATCATATATACAGTATATATATATATGTATATAATATATATTTCTTTAATTATTATTTTTTTTATGAATTGTTATTAATATACCATAAATTATCCATGATTTTTATCAGATGTTGTTTTATTTTTTTATGATATAAAGAATAATCCTGAAGTTTTCCCAGATGAGGTGATTATTATTTTAAAGCAAATTCATTTATTGAAAATATGAACTTAATCTAATTAGTCTTCATTATCAAATTAAGATTATTACGATATCTAAAAACAGAAAAATATTCGAAGAATTAAATGTAGTGCTATTAGCAGTATCTAATGACAATGTTTTCACGTAAGATTCATTATATATATATATAAATGTAACTTTTTTACAATGATCTTTTAATAATAAACTTTAATATTTTAAAATTAGACTTACTTCTTTAATATTGCACAATCATTTAATACATTATGAACAAAATCCTGTTAATCTTAATGTTAACATTGATTTTCCATTATTGGCTGATAAAAATAATGAGATCGCATTATATTTTAATGTATGGAATTTTAAAAATCCACATCTTTATCAAAAGAAAGTAATAATTATAAATCCTCAAGGAATTATAAAAAAAAATTTTGGTAAATCAAGAAAACGAATTATTTAAATGAATTTTTCTTATTTAAAAAAGATTTTATAATTATATATATATTATATTTTATAGATTCATCTATTAAGAAGAATATTGATAAAGTTATTAAATCAATTCGAGAATTTAAATTTACTGATGCTGAAGATCTTCATCGTAGAGAAATTACGAGACGAAACAGGAAATTTGATAAGGCAAGTATCTTTATGTTCAAATTAGCTTTAAATAACGTAATTTACTACTTATTAGTTTTTTTTTTTTTTTTTTGATTTTTCAGCTTCTTAGTTTTAATACTTTATAAAGTATATTATTATTTGCAAAATACGGATCTATGACGTGTAAACTTGTTACGTAACTAAAACGTCATCATAAAAGGTTGTATGAGATACAAGCTAAAAATTTTCTTATTCAATATCAATATATTATGTTATATCTCATTATTTGATAATAAAAATTTATAATTGTTATGGTTGAACGTAACAATTATGTATAAAATGTAAATCCTTCTTATATTCTTATAATAAAGATATTCTAAAATTCTTTTCATTCTCATGTTTTTGTTTTTTATTTCCTAAAAAAAACTCCGTAAATAATGAAATGTATCGAAATAACATAATAATAATCACATTGTTTTTCATTTTCTTTCGTGATCAAATCGCAGTCACGTGATCAATTGTTTTTCCTTCTATTGTCCTTCTCATTTTAAAAAAGTTGCCGCACAACTTAAAATTCTTCTCCGATGTCGTACTGAACACGTGTTGTATCATAATTACGACATTAAATACATTAAATAAATGATTACTATGATTACCAATCGAAGTCAAATATGTATATATATGAACATTTCCGGATTTTTTTTTTTTCAAAAAGTAATAAGATCATACTTTTTTTCGCAAATTTTTTATTCTTTGCCAAGTTTTTAAACATAATCTTGTTATCGAATCTCAATATTAATTATTAATTATGCTTTCAACTATTCCTACTTTTACATCATATTCTCCAAGACGTACTTTGCGCAGTAAGTTGGTTGAAGTTAAAGAAGTTGAAGTAGTTGAAGAAGTTGAAGAGATGTTTGCGGGGTTTAGCAGAACTGACACGGAAAATGACAACGTTATTAACGAAGCGAATGAAGAAGAAAAAAAGTGGTGGGATGAATTATCCTACGAAAATATTGATAAAAAAAGGTAGCATGAGCATTTTGTTGGTGATTTTTTTTTTTTTGTAAATAAAAAATTATGTAAACTTTCACTGGTGATATATATATAACATCGAATTCTTAAAGTTTGGTCCATTGTTCATCTTATGCTTATTAGACTACCTTTGCGTCTGACAAAAAATGTAAAGTTAGAAGAGTATATTGAAAAATCGGAAATTGCGGATGCAGGAAAATTTTGGAATTTCGATGCGGGCAATGTAACAGTAGTTGAGCTGCCTAATCCAGACCATGAAGTTGCACATACACAGTTTACTCGGCAGTTTCTATCTGCCTTTAGCAATGTAGCAGTTCAAGATGATGTCGATAATATTGCAGGAACCAGTACATACAGTTTTTTATGTTATATTATAAATATTATTTTTATCTTTTTTATCTCAAATCTGATTTCGGTTAATTCTATTAAGGTTGCATTGATGGTGCATCCGCTAAGCAACCAGATGCCGCGTTTGTACCTGTTAGATTACCAAAACCATCTCCATATCCCTGTGACCTTCAGGTAAATAAATAATAAAATGTAGATCGTCAAAAATATTATTCATCTAATAAATAAATTTAATAAATTACAAATTATTTATAATATAGGGCAATCCTTGGCCAACAATTGTTTGCGAAGTTGCAAACACTCAAAGCCTCTCCAGTATATTCCAAAAAGTTAACGAATTCTGGCTAAGACCAAATCGCGCAGAGGACGTAATAGTACTTAAATTATGGCCTTGGAATGGCTTAAGAAATGCAGGCGGTAATCCTTTACGCCGCTTAACTGTTAAGTACTGTCTTATTTTATTCTTATTTCTGTTTATTTGTCTAATAGTTTTATTTTCAACAGTGTTATAAGTTTTGTTGTCGTTTAAGCCGTCATCTACGAAGTGGATATCGACCTATAAGAGTTGTAAGTGCTATTTTTACTTTTTTACTCTAGGAAGCTGGTTATTATTAAATACTAACTTTATTTATATCAGATCGAATTTGGAACTATAGATTCCCAACAAAGACCAATTAATAATTGCTCTGCACGGGGAATGTGCATTTTAAGAATATCCCCATCCTGTATTTATTTGAGATGTCCCGGTACACCACCATATCCGTTAACTAATGACGTATCGATCGATTTGTATAATATTCAGCAAGCAATTTTCAGAAAAATGTAAAAATTGAAATTGCTTTTTAAAAAAATATTTTAAATAAGATATAAAATACAAAATACATTTTTTGATAGTAAAATATATTTTTAATATTTTTATATATTACTCTAACAGTAATTTGACTAAATTTCTTTGTATAATCTAACAAATGGTAATAATAAAATAAATGTTATATTTAGATTATATTTATTTTTTGATATCTAAAAAATACTAATTATTAATTGTAATTTTAATATCTTGAAATTGATATTTTATTTTAATTGGTAAATTCATCTATATATATTTCCTGTAAAACTATTATAAAATTAATGTCAATTCATCAGAATTATATATCAATTTATTGAATTAAAAAGCTGATGTTAATTAAATAAGGGAGAAAGAGCTATAAATCTACTTTAGTTACTCATGTTTTTTTGATATTTGAAAAAATTAGATCTTATAAGCTTTATTAAAATAATACAAGTACTGTGTATATACTAATTATAAACCTAAACCTGACCATATGTTTTACTACCTTAACTTATTTTAAAAACAATTAAAATTAATAAAGTTATAAAGCTTTATTATTTTTTTGAATTATCCTTAAAGAGAAATAATTAACTTTGCAATTCTTAGTAATATAATATATAAAAAGAGTATTTAAAAATCTAACAATATAAAAATAAAAGAAAAAAAAATAAATTCAAAATTTAATTGTTGCAAAAAAAAAAAAATTTGAATGCTTACATTAAATTATATAAAAAGAAATTTGGTATGAAATATAAAGAATATTTTATTATATTATTATTATTACTTTATTATTTTTTGATTTTATATAAAAGATAGAAAAATAATGTAAAGCTTTATTATATAGGATTTATTAATAATAATATATTTACAAAAAAATATACAGTTAATTCTCTTTAAATGCACTTTTCCTAAGTGCATATATTATATATTATTTTCTCTAAATGCACCCTCTTACTCAGTTTTAAGTATATAAAAATCATATAAAATTTCCTTTTTTAAAAAAGTGAAAATTCTTCTAAAAAGATTTCTTAAAATTTTTATTCTTTTTATTTTTCATCAAAAGAACTTAAACTTTTTATTGAATTTATAAGAGATATAACAGTATTAATCATAACTTTTGCCTTCAATTTTGAACTTTTTATCTAATAGATTATATAAATTTTCCTATTATTCTAGGTAAACTATGAGTTTATGCATTTTATCTTTAGTAGTGATAATAACCTTGAAGGTTTTATAGTAGTTTTGTATTACCAGCAAGGAATTATAAAATTTGTTATTAAAATATAGGAAAGCTATTATAATTGAGTTTAAACAGTAAATAAAATATCTTGAAAACTCTCTCTCTTTTTCCTTTTGTAAAAAGTCAGGTAATAGAAAACTACCTAATTGGAATATTCTTTAATAATATTATTTATACACTATTATTTAAGTAAGTTTACATGACTTATTTATTTTCAATTTAATAATTTAATATAAACAGTTTTATATTTCTTTTACTAGATAATCTTTATAGAAATAATATAATTTCATACTTTCAGATGGTTTAGTAGTATTTTATTCATCCAGATTGAGAGAATATTATAAAGTAAAATATATTGACATTGGCTAAAATTAGTCTTGCTTATTAGTTAATATTCAATAATGATATATATAACCTTTTTTTTTAATAATTTTTATATGTTTTATATTCTTATCCTTTAACAGAATCTTTTATAAATTAATTACTATTTTATAACCAAACAACTTATTAAATTCATCTTATAAAATAAAATTAGGCTTTTTTTATCCAAAAAAGCTTTATTAATAAAAAAGTCAGCAAATTCTTTTTTTATTTTAACTTATTTTTCTTTTTCTTCTTAATTTGTTACTAAGTTATGAGAATACATCTTTTGTAAAAGATTATGTAGACATTAATTGGTATGTTATATTTAGTATTTTGTACAAATCAAATTTTTTCTTTAAAATTTAATTCAATTCAGATTTAACATAAACTTGATTTGAACTTTAAAAAATATTATCTTAAAATCTAGTAATCCAATTTTAATAATTTTTTTTTTAATTGATAGCTCTTATTATCTTGATTAAAATAAAAAAATCATCAAAATCAAACTACTAAATTAAAAGTTATTTACAAAATACGTTTTCAGAATCAATTAGAATCATACTATATCATAAATCAATTTGCGAATACTAGCTATATTTTCAAATTATTTTCTAAATAAAACTTTTTGCTATATATATATAACTTTTTAAATATATATATTAAATATATTTTAACTTGTTTTACAAGTTTACTTAAAGCACAAAATAAGGTTTTAAATCTATTAGAAATTGTTACCATTTAATTTTAACCAAAAATTACAATTTGATCAAAATTTAAAATACCAGTTATAATTTTAGGCAAAATTTTAACTTAAATAATAAATATACTAATAATTAGATTTAATATTAACTATGACAATTTTAAAATTTGTAAAGTGAAAAAATAAAAAAAATCAAAATTTTGCATTTTTCTCAAAAATTATCTGAAAATTAGCTTTTTTAATCTTAAACTAATTTCCTTGTAAATTTACATATAAAATAATTGTTTAATATATATAATTAATTATTTAATTTAATATTAATTAATCTTATAAAATTAAGTGTATCTGGAGATTTTTATTGTATAGCGGGAATGGACAGTTTTTTCATATTTGTAATTTTATACCTGTCTCTTATACACATCTAGATGTGTATAAGAGACAGCAGAATTAATATAAATTTATTAAATTTATTTTGGGTATTGCTAAATATCACCAGTGGTGATCGTCACCACATGTAAAATATTTTTTGAATTTTCAAAAATTTTTGACTGAGATATTATTCTAATTATAATATAAATATCATTACTATATGTAAATTTATGGGTAGAACAAGTTTGCCTTAGATTATAAAGGCTGTTGTTTAGATAATTTTTGAGAAAAATAGGAAAGTTTGATTTTATAAGCAAAATACAATTTTTTGTTTTAAAAAAGATTTTTTTTAGTCAAATTTTTAAAATTTTAGTGTGATTAGTATCTACTCAGGTTTGTTTTACACATTTATTATTTAAATTGAAATTTTTGAAAAAAAATTTACGATGTGTTTTTTAACTCTGGCCAAAATTATAATTTTCGGCCAGAATTAAGTGGTGTGGTGATGATCACCACTGGTGGGCCAAAATTATAATTTTCGGCCAGAATTAAGTGGTGTGGTGATGATCACCACTGGTGATATTTAGCAATACCCATTTATTTTAATCTAATTAATTTTTATTTTTATTTTTAATTTTTACTTCAAATTACTGGGGGTGATTATCATCATTGGCCAGAATTATCAATTTTTACCAGTACTATATTTTTTAATGTTAGTCGATCGTCATAATTTCAGTCACCGGTAATTATCACCTCTGGTGATAGTTAGAAAAATTCTTTTTTTTTATTCTATTAAATTTTATTAGTAAGTTAAAATTACAAAATAAATTAGTCTTTATTTGCTTAAGTGTAATAACAGATATCCTATAAGTATATATACAAATAAATCTATAAACAAAGAGTTAAAGAAAAACTAATTAAAGAAAAATTTCTAAAAGAAACTAAAATATCTATCTGTAATAATAATAAATAAATACAAATTAAAACTAATTAAAATAAGAAGTCATTTTTTAATAGATAAACTATTTAGCCTTTCAGATGTTATATCCTATCTATTAATTTTATTAGCATTTTTTCCAGTTTTATTACTTTCTTTAAAATTTTCACTTAAAGATTTTAAGGCTCTTCTTTTTCTTATTTTATTTGTATTAAAATTTGCAATTTTAATTAGAAGGTCTTCTATTATTATTTTTTTTGAATTTTTAATCTTACTACTACTTTTAAATATTTAAAGAAATTTAGTTAATATCTATAACCTAATTTTTTGATTTTAGATTCTTTTTAAGATTTACAAAAACTTTAAATCTGTCTTGCATTTGTAGCTTATTTTTAGATTTTATATTGAATTAAAGGGAAATGAAGTAGCGCTAATCTAGCTATTTACCTTTAATTTTGTAATTTCACTTTATAAGATTGTTTAAATCTTCCTATTTTTTTAGATAAATTATAAATTTATGTTTACAATATTTAATAGTAATAACTTTAAAGGCTTTATAACTATTTATTACTATTAAAATTAGATAGAATTAATTATTAAAAAATAGTGATATTGCAGTCATTAAATCTAAAATATTAAAAAGCATAATATCTTTCTTTCTTTTTTTCATAAAGAAATCAGATGACAAGATATTATTTTACTGGATGATATAATTTAAGCATTATTATTTTAAGTTTATTTGCATAATTTATTCATCTTCAATCATTTCAAGCCAATTAAACCTTATTTAAAAAAATCTAAGCTTTGCAAACCTTATTAAGTCTTATTGATTAATTAATTAATTATTCCTTAAACTATAAGCAATTGTGAGTAAATTTGCCTGTAATTTTACCAAATTTTAACTTTTATCTAATTTTATGAAAAATAAAGTAATTTTAATAAAATTCTTTTTCAAAATAGTTTAAATTATATGTTATGTAGCAATTATTATCATTTATTAATTATATATTAGAAAATTGAAAATTATCCATTGATTAAAAGTTGTATTTTAAAATAATTACAAAATTTTAAAAACTTTGCATTTAACTTTGACAATTTTATTGATAGTTATATAAAAGCTTAATAGAATATGTAGAATTTGGTATGAGAAATTAATATAATTTTTGATATTTAAAAGTAGAATTTTAACTTTATATAAAACCTTAATAAAAATTTTATTATGTATTTTAATTATATATTTATAAAAATTAATTTGTAATTTGCCAGTGAACCATAAAATTTGATTATTAAAAGGTGGTGATAAGTTCATATATATTTTTAACAATAATTTAGAATCTGCAATTCCAGAAAAAAAATATGGAATATCTTGCCTTCTATTAGTCATAGAGATATAAAATTATTACCATTAAATGCATCTTGATAAGATAAATCTAATAAACCAAATTTTATTTTCCTACAATCACTAGATAATGAATTATCTTTAAAATCTTTAAATACTAAATTTTTTTTTTCAAATTCAAATTTTTAGCTCTTATGAAAGTATCTTTTGATGCTTAAAATTTTTACTGATCTTTTATTATTAAGACAGCCAAATTGCATATTTTTATTACTATAATATTAGTTTTCATATTATATTTTAGTAATATGTATCTTGCATTACCAGAACTGTAGATTTCATGCTATTAGTAAATATATATATAACCTTCACCGGAATTTAATAGCCAAGTTTTATAGTTCACTGGTGGATCACGAATTAATTTTTTTTATCTTTATTTTATTTATTATAATGCAAAATTTTTATAATGAAAATAAAAAGTTATAATAAATATTTAAATAAAAAAAAATATGATAATAAGAAAAGTTTAGATTTTATTATATAAAAATTTTGATACTATTTTTTTGAATTAATTTTTCATCCAATTTTAATGATCAATCCATATTTAACTTATACAATTTATGGGCAGAATGTAAATCAATTTGACTGCAAAATTTTGTGATGATTTGTTCAAAATTAAAGAATTTTTTATAGTATTATTTATCTTAATTTAGAAATTGCAGATAAATTTACTTGCAATACAATTTAAGAAATAATCTTAGCTAATAGAATTTGGTAAAGGCTTATAAAAACTTGTTCTTTTAAATAAAATTTGCTTAGCTTGAAATAAAACTCCATTTACTATTAATAAATATCATTATAAAAAATTTCAACTTTTATATGAAATCTTACTTTAGAATTTGCTTAAATTTTATTGGTTAATTAGTTAAAAAAAAAAAAAATCATAATAATATAATATAAAATTTTCTTTTATAGTAGAATTTTTAACAATTTTATATATAAACTTTATCTTAGATTTGAAGATAATTTATTTAGAATAAGTAAGCAGAATCTTTTTAAAATAGCTTATAGAAAGCATTAATAAAAATATAATATATAATTATTTTTAAAAAGTTGTAAAGTTATAATTATTACAATATGTATACAATACTTTTGTTATAATTACAATATAATTATTATTATATTGTAATTATTATATAGTATTATAATTATTGCTAATTATATAAATATATATTATAATATATAAATCATTTTTTTTGTAATAATATCTGTTCTACAAACACTTATTTTTGTATTATTTTTTAAAAAAGAAAAAAATTATAAGTATTGTAATATTACAATACTTTGACTTTAAAAGTAGTAGTAGATTGCAATTCTTACTATTACAATACAAAGTAGTAATTATCAATTATATACTACATCTTTAAGGTTGTTAGAAAAATTAAAGAATTTTATCAAGTTAGCAAAATGCAAAGTCTTATTAAAAAATTGGTAAAACTCTGAAAAAAAGTGAAACCTAATAAAACTTATTATTAAAGATGTATTTGCAATACTTTAATTGCAGATTAATTGCAATTTGCAATATTACAGATTTTAAAGAATAATTATTCACAAATTTGTAATTGCAAATAATTCACAAATTTGCAAATAATTTGCAAATCCACAAATAATCTATAAATCTGCAAATAATCTGCAAATTTGCAAATAATTTACAAAATTTGTAAATATATAAATATATACAATATTTTAACTAAAGTTTTATATTAAAAATAAGAATTTTGATATCAAAATATATTAATACCAAAAAGCTGAATTGTTGAAAATTATGATTAGCTATAGATTATCTTTACATAATCATTTTTTTGTAAAATATTCTCACCAAAGCGAAAAAATTTTTCTTGTCAAAATATTTTTAAAATCCAATTAAATAATAATAATATATAAAATTATTCAGTTATAATTAATATATTATACATTTTTTTAACAATTATATCATATTATTATATCAAACTCATTATATTAAACATATTACAATTTACAATTACTTACATATCAAAATAATCATGTTATCACATGTTGTTATTTGATCAATTAAATAAATATCAGTTTTTAGTACTTTAATTGCTATCTTCACTCTTTATTTTAAAAATAAAAATAAAGTATTAGTTTTTAAAATATTGAATAAATATTTTAGAAATGTTAAAACATTCTGTTCAATTTTCAATTCAAAAATTTGCAGAAAAAAATTTATTTACCTGATGATAATGAAAGCTTAATTTCAACAATACTTTCTTTTATTTAGATAAAGATAAATAAAAAAATTGATTTGTGTACTTTTAAATAAGATAAAGTAAAAATATCATAAAAAAAAATAAAGATTATATATATTTTGAACTAAAGGAATCATTGTTAAATTTTACATTTATCAATAAGGTATAGGATAATTTTATTTTTTTTTCCTTTATTTTATTTCTATTCATTTTTTAGTTTTGAACAACTTTATTCATTTTTTCATTTCTAGACAATTTTATTCACTTTTTTTTTCATCTTTGAATAACTTTATTCATTTTTTTTATCTTTAGACAATCTTGTTCACTTTTTTTTGTCTTTGAACAACTTAATCCATTTTTTTTTGCTTTTTTTTTATCTGGATAACTTTATCTCATTTTTACCACTTTTTTTCATCTCTAGATAATTTTGTCCACCTTTTTTTTCCATTTTTTTTTTATTTCTGAATAACTTTATAATTTTAATTTTATTTATTTTTTCAGGATAATCTAACTGAACTTGAGCATTACAAATCTTTATATGAATTATATAAAAGTAAATATAAATTAGATTTGAATTATAATGTTAGATTACAAGTAAAATATAAGAGTGATATTTAATTTTTAATTTATAAAATTTATATTTTACCTTTCTTTATTAATTTTTAATAATAAAACAAATTGCAAAAGTACTTTACTCATAGTACCGTATTTTATTGAAATTAAGCACCCCCAATTTGCAAGAGTTATGAATGAAAATTTGGGATGATGCTTATTTTTGATATTATTTTTATTAGAAATATATATATAAACTTGCATAAAAAATTTTGAAAAGTTTATGGGGATGCTTATTTTCGAAGGTGCTTAATTTTAATAAAATATGGTAGTTTAGTAATATCAAAAAATATATGTCATACATCTCCTATTTTTTAGTAAGAGTTTTTAGTTAAGTCTTATAATTCTTCTCATATAATGGAGATAATAAAGTTATTTTTTTCTGATATATAATAGATAATGATTATAAACTTTATTATTATTAAACAAGCTTTAAGTATAAATTAGATTGTTAACAAATTAAGTTAATGAACATAGAAAAAGTAAAATTTAATTAAAATCTTAAACTAAGCCTTATAAATTTAAAAATCATTAAGAATTTCAATAAGTTTTTATTTCTTGAAAGTATTAATCGCCTTAATTACTTTTTATTTGCTATAATTTTATATTCTTTTTTTTTAGTTTTGTCACTTAGAGTCAAATTTTCTTTTCAGTATTTATGAAAATTCTGAATTGTTTTACTAAATTCAAATATTGCAGATAATATTCTATAATAGATTTTTCTTCATCAATTTTAAGATTTAATATAAAAAATGATAGAATATAATAAATAAATTAATATAAAATTGATATAATATATGATTAGTTATTGAATTTACCAAATTTTCTTTTTTTGTTGCTCATGCTTATACTTGACTTATTTGATTCATCATTAAGAATTGATTTGATTGAAAAACTGGTTGGTTTTTGAGCAATGCCAATATACATTTCATCATTAAGTATTTTAGAACTAGAAGGGCCTTCTTTTACAATTTCTCTAACTGCAGTTTTTTCTTCACCAGCAAAGTGAGTGGTAATTTCAATATCAGCTTCATATTTGCTTATTATTTCTTCTAATATTTATAAGTATGACATATAAGTTACAGTTTCAGTCTGATTATCAGCTTCTTCTGTAGTTATAATTTCTAAACTTTACTACCTTAATTTAAATAATTTAAATTTTCAGTTCATTTATTAATTTACATTTTAATGTTTAAAAATCAGTTCAAATTATGCTTAAAATAAGATTTTAATAAAAAACAGAGTGAAATATTATTATACAGTAGTCTTATTGATAAAGCTATAATTTAAAAGTAATTTATATTATTTATATATATAAATATAACTAATGATTTACATTCAGGATGATTTTAATTATTTTCATCTAGGTGATTTAATAATCTGATAATTTTTATATAATTTTAATATAATTCAGGTAAAATCACCTGATTAATTTTATTGATATAATTCGGAAGGTAATTAAATTATTTAAATTTAATAATTACAGCAGGCGATAATTGATAATACCTGATAAATATTACACGAATAATAAATGGTTGTGATACAAAATTGCCATTGCTTATATAATAATATAATTTATATTTAAGTTCATTTCTTTCAAAAAAATTCTGATATACACTAACGTGTTGTTTTTTAAAGAAAATTTTAACTTTTACTATTTATAAGCACGTATCTTATTCTGTTTTTCTAAAACATCATTTCCTAAAGCAAATTCATATCAATTATAATAATCTATATGAAACTATGAAACTTTAAACTATTAATAAAACCACTTACAATGGAAAATATTTTAAACCCAAATTTTTTTTATAGTTACAATATATTATTCAACTCTTATTATGGTTCTCCATATAGTAGTTCAAACTTGCTTAATGGTTATCAATATGAATCTTCTGACTTACCGATATTTGAATTTTATGGTTCTTTGTATGATTCTTTTGATCTATTTCTTGAAGATCATGATATACTTAATGAAATCCAAATAGGAAATGTAAGAAAAATAGATGTTTCGGAAAATAAGAATATAAATAGGTATGATTTTCTGGAAGATGAAAAAATAAATAGCCACTAGTATAATGTTTCAGATGATAAAGATAGACATTTTAATTATCAAGAACAAGAATATGATGATAGCGAATATGAGGAAGAAGAGAATAAATTAGAATTAAATGATCAAGGGATGGAATTTGAAACATAGGAACTCACTGAATCATACTTTAATGAATATATAAAGTAACAGGAATTTTCTTTTCATAAAAAAAAATGTATATTGAATCTAACTTGATAGTACAATAACAAGATGTAGAACATATGAATATTCATATGCCTGAACTTATGAGATTCAAAAGGTTATTTTAGAAGAAAATAGAAGGGATAGGGATTCTAAAATAATTGAATGTCTTTAGCATATTAATCTTTCTTTTCCTAAATCTAAAAATAGTATTCATATTAATAGTATAGTTGGAATATATAATCATGATATGAATCCTTGCATTACTGAGATAGCCCTAAAATTCTGAAAATTGACAGATAAAATGCTTGAGAAAGTAAAGTTTTAGATGATTAAAGGAAAATTAAACATATCAACTCAATATAATTTACTAGTAATCTCAATTTCAAATAAAGTAATTAATAAGAAAGATCTAAGTCAACAATTTAAAAAAATAAGCAAAACCTATTAAAAATGATGCATGTCAAATGCTTATTAAGCTATACTTAAAAAAAGATGTTAATCCAAAATGGATCATAAAGCTATACTTTGATCATGGAGAAAGAAGATTAAATTCATTATTTTAGATGTTACCTGATCAAGTTAATGTATATGAAAAATACCATAATATTGTGATGGTTGATATGATATCCAAAATTAATCAATTTGATATGATATGAATGCTAATCATTGTAATTAATAATAATTTTAGAAATATAATAGTAGTTGCAGCAATTTTAGAAGATGAAACAGAAGCAACTTTCATATAGATTTTACAAGAATTAAAAAATTCTTGTGATCTTACACTAACAATTCTATATTCTGATGCTGATCCAGCCTTAATATCAGCCATAAAGACAAATTATTTAAAAATACACTATTTTCATTGTATTTTTCATATAGATTTAAATCTAAAAAAGAATCTTAAAGGAAAATTACATAATCAATTTGAACTTTTTCATGCTAAATTTTTAGAAATGCGCAATTCTTTATGTCATAAAACATTTGAAATAAAATGAAATACACTTATTGATGAATTTTCAGCTTGTGAACAATATCTTATAAGAGTTTTATATTCTTGTAAAAGTAGTTGGACTTGTTATTATGCTATCAATCAGAATTTTACAGTGGGAATTCAAAGTATACAATGGGTAGAATCTACTAATAAAATAATCAAAGATAGATTAAATAAATCTTTGTGTTTGATTGATGTTATTAAAGAAGTTCAAAAAATATTTGATCAACAATTGAAAAAAAAGCAATATTAAACGAATGTAAAAATGAAATTCTTACTAAAGGAATACTATCAATTATAGATGAATATTTTCCAAAACTTGATAAGATTCTGCAAGAATATTTTAATACCATAGATTCTTCAAAAATAATGTGATTAAATAGCCCAATCATTATATTATGATGTAGAATTAATTGAAGATTGGTTACTGCTCTTAAAAGTAAGTATATTGCTAATGGTTAATAAGAAAAATTATTAGTACTTATTTAAAATAATAAAGACAATTACTAAAAAAAAATACTTCCCTTTTTTTTATTTTTTTTCATAGATGGTAGATGATTTCTATTAACAAGAAATGATCAGAGAGAATGATTATGATCAACTTCAATTTTTTCTTTATTAATTAAAAATATACTTTATAATAGTATTCGGCAAGTATGGAAAGCAACTAAACATTGTGAACAAAAATCTGAACTACAACATATTATTTTACTTGATGATGGGTTGTATTTATATACCTGTCTTTGGCTTACAGTCAAACCTTGATATAGCAAACCCTTGATATAATGAATTTTTCAGACAACTATAATAAATTTCCCCTTGCTATAACGAATTAACCAATTAAATTTCTTAAAATCTTTACTATAATCTTATAGCGAAGTTGAAGTCTGAACTCTAGGGTTTGTTATAACAAGGGTTAACTGTATTAATAAAGGAATTATGTGTAGGCATTTCTTTCAAGTTATGTCCTATTCAATTAATACACAATTTTATATATTTTTTATTCTTTAACAACGGATAGTATAATTATAATAAGTATAATATCAAACAATAACATAAAGAACTGGTATACCAAGAAAATAAATTAGAAATAGGTTTGCGATTATCATTTTAACATCTTGCAAATTTTAGGCAAACTTCTAGTATTGTATAACCTCAAGGTCCTAAACAAAAATATGGGTTTGGTATGGGATATACTAAAAAGGCACTTGATTTTTGAACTGACAAAGTCAATAAATTTATCAATCAAATTGAATATTTTATTAAAAGTGTAAAGTCAGAATTATCTGACTAGCAGGAAAATGTAATTTCTATGCATATTAGTAATCTATTGCAAATGAGATATAAAGATCAATAACTTAATAGGTATAAGCAATGTTAAATTTTGGACTTGTCCAATTGGTTTTTTTAATTGGACAATTTTGGACTGTCCAAAATCAGTTTTGGACATAGTTTTGAATATAGTTTTAAACAGTTTAAACCTGTTCAAAAGTCCTAATATTTATTAATTGAAACTAAAAATAAAATAAAAATATAATGTTAAAATGTTAAAAAAGTAAATATTTAATAAATTAAATGATAAATAATATTATTTAAAGATTTTTGAAGTAATTTAAGTAATTTAATAATTGAACTAAAATTAAAATTAGCTAAAATTAATCATAATTCTGGCTAAAGTTAAATTTTTTATCATGTGATCTGTCCAAAACCTGTTCAATGAAAAAAGGTTTTGGTTTTAGATAAGTTTTGGATAGGTTTTGAAAAACGTCCAATTGTCCAATTATCCAACATTAGGTATAAGTCATGTGATGAAACTCAAAAAAAGAAAGTAAGATATATTTAGGATATAATTAATACTACTAATAAAAATAATCATAAAGAAGATGTTGCAGCAAGCTAAGAGGGAAAACAAAGAAAGATGTAAAAATTGTAATCAAGTTGAACATTATGCTCCAAGATGTTCAAATATCTAAAAGTGTAAAAAAAATTTTTTTTCAACATCTAAATGTATTAATTTACTGTAATGACTAATAAAAATATTAGTAATATAATAAATTGCATGATAGTTTAATGATTAATGGTAATACAAGATTGAAAGTTGCTATTTTAGATTTTTAATATAATAAAATTACATGATAAGTCAGATACCAGTGAAATCACCTGAGTGATATCACCTTATGTGATTTTCACTTAGAGTGCTAATTAGCAAGCTTCTAAAAATAATATAAAATAAAATTTATAAAAAATTATATAAGTTAAATATAAAGTTTATTTATGGTATTATAATTAATGTATAATTAAAAGTATTAAAATAATAATACTTTTATTGGATATAAGATTATATCAGTTACAGATTCTTCATTAATTGGTGAAAATGACCATTATGTGGTCATTTTCATCCAATCATTTGGTCCTGTAACTAATATAAATAATATATATATATATAACATAACTTATTAGTAAAAAATACATTATATATTTAGTTATAATATTGATGTAAAATTATTAAAGATTTTATAAAACTGAAATAACTTAAAAAATTATAATATTATGCCTTTTTAAAGAATTTATAATAATTATAATAAAATAATTTAGCTTTTAAATTTGTTATAAATTTTAAACTACTATGTAATTACAAGTTTATTATATATTTAACTTTTTATGTATTTAAAATATTAAATTAATTGAATACTTTCTTAAAAAAAATTAAGATTCTTTTTATTTATTTATTTTTTTTTAAGTATTCTAAAAATATTAAGATTTTATCCAATGAGTATTTATTATTGGAAATACTAAAGGTTTGAACTTTTATAATTAAAAATTACTGTTAATAATTGTAAAGTAAAAAAATCAATTTTTTATATTTTATTTTAAACTATTTGCTCTAATTGTAATATTCATATGATATCAAACTGTATAACAATTTTTTCCGAACTAAGGAAATGTTAGACAAATAATGGAAATCGAGACATATAAATAAATTATAAAACAAACATTATATAATAGGAATTTTGAAAATTACGATGATACCTGCCTTGAACACATAGATCAATCTAGCCCTCAAAAAAATTTTACAGTACAAAATTTAATTTAATGCAACCAGGACTTTTTGTTATTGCGATAATCAAAAGATTTTTTGAGTCAAATTAAAAAAAAATTTTAAGAATGCAGGTTGCGCATTTCAAAGAATCTGTAAAACGGATGATTATCATGATCAACATACTTTCACAATTTGTTTAATCATTGATACATAAATTTGCATATACATTACAAAAAATAGCATGATTATCATCTTAAAAAACACGTACCTATTATTCTATATAAAACGGCTTTTTCTCTTGTAAAAAAGAAAAATTTTTTATCAAATAAATAAAAATAAAGATATTTACATTGTATATATTGTGAATATATATATATATATATAAAAAGAAAAAGAAATGGAAACTTCAGAAATTGTAACAGATGAGTTTTTAAATAAAGAAAATAAAGAAAATCAATATGAAGAACTACAAAAACCCTTTGACTTCCCACCATTAATTAATAATGGTTTTGATCTTGAACGTCGCGGATCAAACGATTCGAATTTTTCTCTTCGTCCAAGTTATAAGCAAAAGTAAAGAATTTTTTTTTTTCTACCGTAACGCATAAGTACTACGACACACTTTCTATTTATTTGATTTTTGTCGAACATTCTAATGATATACGAATTATTAATTTGATAGATTTAAACCTTCTATTGCGAGAACACTCATTCAGCAAATTTTAAATCAAAGGTTAAATAATGCGTTATATGATAAGGATCAAGCTCCAGGTTGGGCTCATGAAATTTCTCACGAAATAAAACAAAAATTAATAGGTAAGAACACAACATGATTGATTAATGATTTTTACATTACATCGATAATAAATGACAAATAATTTTAATAGATTTAGAATTGACTCGATATAAATATATCGTTAACGTAACAATTATGGAGAATAAATGTGCTGGGGCAAGGTAAATTTATCAATTTTATCAAGTTTATCCAAACTAAATTAAAAAGTATTTTTTTTTAAAAAAAAAATATATTTAGAATCCAATGTACTTGTGCTTGGGATATGGATACCGACAATGTTGCACATGAAACTTTCAAGAATGTAAGTAAATATAATTATTATAATTATTTATCACGTGAATCTAACCAATTTTACTTATTTAGGATTCCATTGTATGCACAATCATGGCGTTTGGCGTTTGTTTCTATTGAAATTATTCCTTTTTGGGTCGCGCGAGTAAGTAAAAAAAAAATTTTTTTTTTTATTAATAAAAAGATTATATATGTGATAAATTTTACAAATGTGAGAAATAAACTATCGATAAAAGTTGTAAATATAAGTAATCTAGGAACAATTAATAAAATAAGTTATATAACAAAATTATGAGAGAAATGAGAGAAATTACAAAATGTGTGAACATAATGGACTATCGATAATCTTTCTATAAAGTTGAATGACCTTCTAAATATATAAAACTACAAATGAAACTCGAACTTTTTGAAGCAATTCATCATCGTTATAACATCCTTCATCACTTAAAAGTATACCATCTACAACGAAGCTCGAAATTTTCGAAGCATATCTATATTAAATAGGTCAAATCCATAAATATTGCTTTCCCTATAATAATTGTATATAAGTATTTCTAATTTACAATATAATATAATAATGTGTAATAAATCATAATATTCATTTAAATTATTGAAATCAATTTCTTTGAGCAGTTTACTTTGATCAATAGAATAATACATTAGTAAAAAATTTGAAATACCGAATTGATTAAATTTAAAGAATTTCCTGTCAGGCATTTCAATCCGGGCTGATCTCCCGTATTGATTAAAGTTCTGATTCATCAGATTTATATGCTGATTGCTTTGAGCGTTTTCAGCGTTCTCAGAGTTTTCAGCGTTTTCAGCGTTTTCAGCGTTTTCAGCGCGGAATAAGTGTGTATGTATTCTATATGTGTTCTATTTTGAAATTTTTTTGTGGGCTNTTTTTTTATTTATTTATTTATTTAAAGTTTAAAAAGTATAAAAAATGTGAAAATGTGTGAGAAGATTAAAATGTGTGAAAAGCGAGAGATTAAAAAAGTGTTAAAATTGAGGAGTAAAAAGTTAAGATTTAAAATTATGAATTGAAAGGTAGGTTCAAGAGGACTGATATTTATAATTAAAAAAAATTGAACCATTACCGAAACTTTTTGATCATATCTATCAATATCACAAAATCTAAAAATCTCGTTTCTCGCGTATTTCATTCATTTTACATACGCATACATATAATCTAATCAAAGAACACGTTGAAAAAGGAAAAGTTCTTTGTTTCGAAGGGAAAGAATGAATACAGATATTTATTGAAAAAAGTCGAAAAAGTTTTCATTAAATTTCTTTTTTGAATGGAATCATTTTATAGCAAGTTAAAAAAAGCTGCAAAAAAAAAAAAAACTCAATAGCGTTTATTTATTTGATTGCACGAAGTTTGCGATTTGGAAATTTTCTCACGCGATTAACATAAAAGATAAGGGGATCAGGTTATTAGGCGGAAATTGCCGATATTTAGATGTTTTGGCATCTTTTTTTGTCGCGCGCCCTTTTTTAGCCCTAAATTAGATATTTATGTCAAACGTAAACATGTGTTTTTAATACTTCGGATTACGTGCAATCCTATAATAAGGTTACAAATAAATTTTAAAAAAAGTTTGAAGGGGTACGTGCGTAATAATACATTAGGCATTTATTTAACGGACCGTGAGAGATTTTTTTTTTTCAAGTGATAAAGTAAAATATTTGCTGCGGTTTATCACTTTGCATGCATTCATTTCACATGAAAGATGATGGAACTAAATGGTATTGTTTCTATTCTACTATGAGGTATAAACCCAACTCATAATTCTCAATAATTCTCATTATTCTCATAACTTTAAAATGGATGTTTTTTTTGTTTTTTTTGTTTGTTTCGATGAGGAAATCTGATCATCATATGACAGCCCAAAATTTTTTTTTTCCTCTTTTCTTCTTTAATATAAATCGCATGTGACTATTACCTTCTATCATCTTTTTTTTTCCTTAATTTGATCTATTTTTGGAAAACGTTGATTCATTGTATTATTTTAGGGAGTATATATGTTAAACTTTTGAGAAAATCTATAAATAAAATAAAAGATTCAAATCTTATTTAACCTTTTTTGAATTTATACATATCTGATAACGAATCACAAGTTAGAATGGCTCATTTATGTCATTGTACAACGAGAAAAAATTATTTGTTAAGATTTATTGTTTTTCCCACTCTTAAAAAAAAAAGTTGTCTATCTTGAATTTTTTTCGGATCCCCTTTTTTTTTTTTTACTCAATTCTTATTTACAAGGTGTTCAAGGATAGTTCTTATTACCAAATATATCTGTTATGTTTCAATTTAATTTTTGAAAATCATATTATTAAAATTTTTTTTTTTTTTTTTTTAAAAAAAAAAAAANAAATTTTTTTTTTATATATATTTATATAATATATATATATATGTGAAAAAAAATTTCTTCAAATGAAATTTTCAAAGAAATTAAATTTATTCGAAATCTCATCTAATAAGTTTGTGGCTTTGGGACAAGTTATTAAAAGGATGGGTGGCGTACTTAAAAAACCAACGGATAATGATAATACAGATAATAATACAGATAATATAGATAATAGCATTTCATCACCAACGATTCAATTAATTTCAACAGAACATATTGATGCAGTACTTGAATGGAGACATAGAACTTTTTGGGATTGTATAGAATGTGGATATCCAAGAACAGGTTATAGTTGGTGTCAAAATTGTGAATCCTATAGATTTGAAAAACAATTTCCTCATTGGACGAGTGGTAATATTGATATTGATGATTTTATAAGGAAATCACAAAAACTAGCTCAAACTGATCGTGGTTATATGGAATGGATACCTCATGATAATTTCACTGATGTTGAATATATTACAAGTGGTGGTTATGGAGATATCTTCACCGCTGTATGGCAAGAAGGTCCCCGATGGGCATGGGATGAAAATGATCAAACGAGAATAAGAACGGGACCACGAAATGTTACATTAAAAATTCTTGATAATTCACAAAATATCACTACCGATTTTCTCAACGAGGTATGATTTTCTTTATAAAAAGAAAAAGAAAAGAAAGAAGTTTTTATTAATAAAAAAAAAATTTTTTTTTATTAGCTCGCATCACATTATCAATGTAATTCCGAAAGTCATGTTTTATTTTGTTATGGTATATCCAAGGATCCAATGACTAATAAATATATTCTTGTGATGGATTATGCTCAAAGTTTTTACGAATATGTTATAGAAAGATCAACAAGGATATCGTGGATGAAAAAATTGGAGATACTTTACGATATAGCGTTAGGATTAGCCATGTTACACAGGAAAAATATAGTTCATCGAAATTTTCATCCAGGAAATATATTTATAGATGCAAATTATCAAGGGTATACTTGTATTAGTGATATAGGTCAATATTATCCATCAGATAAAGATTCTAATAGTAAAAAATTATATGGAGTATTACCATACGTTTCACCTGAAGTATTGTTAGGTACAGATTTCACTACGGCCTCAGATATATATAGTTTTGGTATGATTATGTGGGGTATATCAACAGCACGACGACCATTTGCTGACCGACCACACGATCAATCACTTGCTTCAGATATTTGTAATAGTTTACGACCTAAAGCTGTAAAAGGTACACCACCATCATTTGTTAAATTAATGAAAAAATGTTGGGATCCTAACCCATCAAATCGTCCAAATGCGACAGAATTAGTTGATATTTTAGAAGGATGGATTAAAATATTATATAATAATTATGAACCATCAGATATTCGAGAAGAATTTAATGCTGCTGAAGAATATAGAATAAATAGTACATCAGCTCCAAATTCTCCTTCCATGTTTCATCCTCTAGCGATATATACTAGTAGACTTTTAAGTTTTTCGAATTTGAAGGTTTGGTGAATACATTATCATCACATGTAATTATTATATTTTTTTTTTTCCTTTTACAAACGATCTTTTTCTTATGTAATAATTAACAATCAATCATTGGACAATTATATTATCATTCAATCATCATGAGACTTATTATATAGAATTTATTATTAATTTGTAACAAATATATTGTGTAATTTAGGGTTTGATTTATTTGTGAATAATCAATATAAATAAATGCATTATTACTAGATACAAAGTTTAAATATATGTTTATATGTGTGTGTGTATATATATGTTATGTTTTTTTTCCATCTTTTCATATGACAAACATCATTATAAAGGGTAAAAGTGGTAAAAAGTGCAAAAGATCACAATGCAACCCATGCATCAAAAGTGTATTAAAATATGTTTACAAAAGCCTCCTGATCTTTCGATGAACTTTTTCTTTTTACCAAAATTTTGCAATTAATCCTAATAAAGCAGTTTAAAAGAGTTCAGCCTCAAACCTAAAATTTTTTTCATGTATTCAATACCGTTTTTGTTTAATATTTAAGGGAAAAAAAAAAAAAATTTTTTTTTTTCCCCAGACATAATTAATATTATTATTCAAATATAAAAAAAAGTTTCTCCGCTCAAAGTGATATTGGTGATACCGTCAGATTTCGAAGATAAAAAAAATATATATGGCTTATCAAGAAAGATCGCGTGAAAATCATGAATGAAAGTTTTTGATATTATCTTTAATTTGATGCTGTTCATTATCGAAAAGAGTCTAGAACTCACACCGCTCCCCTGAAAAAAGATCATTTGTAAATTATAATCATTCTTTCTTTTTGTCGGTTTTTAAAATAAAATTTAAAAAAGGATAAAGATTTTTTCGTGATCACGTTTACACCAAAAATCGGTATAAAATGGGAGATAATTTTTTTTTCCATCAAGAAAAAAACCGCCTTTTAAAAAGAAAAATTCTTTTTTTTTTAATTTTTTATAAATTAATTAATTACCTTCATTTTCGACATTCCTTTGTAATCATGTTTTTATAATAATGCTTTCATTTATTTCAATTACAAAGGAAAAAAGTCCATATTTGCGGATGAGGAATCTTTGACGGTAATTCTATCTTTAAATATTTATTTTACGCGTTAAAAAATTAGTCATGTTTTTTTTTCCTTAATTAATGATAAAAGTTTTATTTTAAACTTATAAAGCGTAACCACTCAATGACTCAATGACATGAAATTTTTTTTGTTTTTTTTTTAATCGCATTTAATGTAACCATGTGGTATGTAATTTAAAAAGCTATTTTACTTTTTTCGGATGTTTTAAAGTTATTCCCGCATTTTTTTAATAATACATTTTTTTTAATGTGATACAATAGATTTTTAAAATATATAAAAAAAAATTCTCCTAAAAAAAACAACATTAACGACTAATGACCCAAAGAATTTGGACTTAATGAACTTTCCCCATCCGATCCTTTTTTTTTTTAATCGTACTAGTTTCGTTTTTTACCTTCGAACCAAATTTTTAACTTCATATCTTATAATTTGAACATCAACAACATATTTTTTTGGACAATTTTTTTATAAATTTTTGTTGAATAATCTTTTTTTTCGTTTTAAAATAATTTTGTATATAATTATACATATATATACACCTTTGTTTTTTGTTGTGAATTAAAAATCATGTTCTTGGCAATATTTATTCTTGGCCATTTTATATAAACATATCTGATATAATACATATTTCTTTTAACAATAATGTAACTAATTTTTTTCTAACGCATCAGTTTAACAATGATGTAACTTATATACAAAGGTTTTGAAAAGTTTCATTAATGAACAATGTAAACTTGTAGATAAAAAAGTTCTTTCTTGTAATTGCATTTAAGCAAAAGTTCTTTCGAACCGCCGCATTTAACGCCATTATGAAATATACATGGATTAATTAACTTGTAAGCAACGCATTCAGCGCATTAGTCTCATTAATGAAATAATAATGTAACTTTGTAGGCACGTACATTATAAGCAACGCCCATTAATGACTTGTAGGCAAAAGTTCTTACCAAATGAACCACATTTTAACGCATCAATTCCATACATAAGCAACGCATTCAACGCATCAATTCCATTAATGAAGAATGTAACTTGTTGGCTACCAATGGACGAACCGCATATTCCATTATGAAATATACATGATTAAGTAACTTCATAAGCAGCGTATTTACTTGTTTACTTGTCGGCGAACCGCATTTTAACGCATCAGTTCTATTATCACGTTATGCACACAAACAAGTTATGGGAACTTGGTTTAATGGATTAACCTTTTATGGATTAGTTCTTGAGGACGAGAATTTTATTCCAGTAAATTTACATTTTCTTTTTTTACAATATTTTCGATTTTTTCACACGTCTCAAACAATTATAGCTTAAATGTAAGATGATGCGAGGTGTGAGAAGATGTAGATACTGCATATATTAAAAAAACCTGCACGATACTGCAATAATGCATCTTGATGATTCCCGGATCAAATGTATACAAGGCGTTTAACGACCTAAGCATATTGCCTTTAAGCATAGTGCTTTTATTCACTTCAAATATACAATATATACGTATATACGTGATTATATTTATTTTATATTACAGATATTTTACTTTTTATTTAAAATTATGTAAATAACTATTATACCTATTCTAATTTTTTTCTATTGTTCATCCCAATTATATTAAAATAACGCATAATATCGTTATATGTTTGCCACACCTTTAATAATAAATTATATTACGTAGACTACTAGATTCGTAGACTAGATTCGTAGACTAAGATTCGTAGACTATAATTATTATATATCTCCATTTCCTCCATGGACGATATAATTCAAATGTTCGTTAAATGTTCAAAGAAAAAAAAAAAAATTTTTTAGAGATTAATTTTTTAATAATAATAATTATTTGATTTCATTTTTGAAAATCGAGTTGCAACCTCCATTAATTTTGCTCGTAATTGTTGTATCTCTAATTGAGAATTATTCCATTCTTTTAAATCATAATTTTCCAATTCTTCATATTTCCACATGAGCATACCTAAATCGGCCTGTAATACTCTTAATTCGGTATCCAAATAAGCTTCTTCTTGTATAACCTTTTTTTCTAATTCTTTTACATGAGAATTATTTTTAGGTGAATTAATATCTTTAAATTTATGATAATATTCTATTTTATCTAATAATTTATGAATATTTTTTAAATGTTCTTCTTCTGTTATACAAATTTCTTCTCTCATATCATCAATGTGTTTTAATATTTCATTTAAATTTTTATGATATCTTTTTCTAAAATATATAGCTTGATTTTGTTTTGTGGTTATATTCATTATTAAATTTTCTATTATAATAAAATGATTTTTTGATACAGAAGTGGATTTTTTTGTTGAAATAAAGGATTTATCTGATTTATCCGATTTATTTAATTTATTTGTGTAAGCGGATGATGAAAATATTGATTGTTTTATTAATACTTTTTCTGTATTATCCGAAATTTCATAATCATGGTGTTCTTGTGTATGGGATTTATTATTATTATTATAAAGTTTTGACAAACCATATCCGCCAACAAATGTTATAATAGCAACCGAGGCAAAAAGTTTTAAAGATGTTAAAGATGACATCTTTTTTTTTTTTACAATGTACAAGTTTTTCAATGTGAAACAGAATGCGCCCTTTTTTATACTTGTTATTTATAAAAAAAAAAAAGAGAGAGAAAGAGAAAAAGAAAAAAGAAGAAGAAGAGGAAAAGAAGAGGAAAAGAAAAAAAAAAGAGAAAAGAAAAAAAAA